ACAGATTTGAGCTCAAGATCCTCGTCAATATTAATAATATTGAGCGCTACATTATGTTAACAATATCGTCGACGATCATTTTATATCGGTTCAATTATTACACAATAAAGACATAACTTATTGAGATCTCTTTATCTCATTATTTCAGGTACCTGAGCCTCTCACATGAGGTCTTACAAAGTGTTATGTCATGGTGCTCTTCTAGAGCAGTTGCCACCTTATTATGACCATCTTGAACATTTGCCCCTCTCCTTCTTCAATAAGTTTTATCTTTGGAACTGATTGGTCTGTTACGCTTCATGCATGCCATAGACTCTGTCCCTCATGGACTTTATTCTATTTTGATCATTAGCAGTTGAAATATGACATTTAGCTTTGGGTCAGCAAATATGTCTGACAATAATTTATAAATTAATTATCACTTGAACTTCAAGTTCATATTTTCTTGTACGAGGATCTATATGTATTCACAATAATTCATTTCACGTATCACTTTCTCAGCTATCCATTTTCTCTCCCTAATGTTGGGATCACCAACACATTTTCCAACCTTCTTTGGGAACCCATCTCTGTGCATTGTGGTGGCATAATTAAATCATATAGCACATCGATATTTCTATATAGAAATTGTTTGGTTCCTGACCCTGAATCGATTGTGATAGGGAGAAATTTTCATAATTTGGCTAGATGCGTACAAGTGTTGCTGTATATTAAATAATACATCTCATACCAAATTTCGTTTTTGGCAGTGTTGTTCTCATAACCAATGATTTATCTATAAGGGGAGGCATACAATTTCTGCTAAACCAACTTGGATTTAAACTAGTATTATCAAGATAAATCATCATAATTTATAATTTGGAACTATGCTCTAATAATTTGAGCATGCAATCTTGAAAAAGCCAAACTGCAAGTTGATAACAAATGCACATGTGACCATAGAATAGATGCATCTATTAAAATAATAGTAAACGGTCCACATGGCAGGTGATTGGGCCCATATATTTATCACCTTTTATTCATTCCAGAAATTAAGGGATTCAATCTCAACCTTAACTGATGTATCATGAGAATAAGCAGCACAAGAGAATTCTTGAAGAATCTTTTATTCTTCTAATATATGCCAATGTAATTCTCAATTAATTTTTCGCATCATAATTGAACCGATTTGGCCAAATGGTGATGCCAACTAATATTTATTTCAGTAAACCTCTAGTTACTTGTAGCTTGTGATTCTATCACCATGCTTATACTTGTGTAGTACAAATAGAAGATAAATCAGGTAACCTTTCATATACCTGGTATGATTATAGTAATATAAAAGATATTCAATCTTCATTTCATTTATAGTCTCAATATGCCAACCATTTTGGCTAATATATTTGAAACTCAAAGTTTCTTTTGAGACTTACTACAATATCAATATCATGAATAATTTCATCCGAGTAGTAACAAATTAGCTCTTCCGAAGCTCTTAGTTAATTTTTTACTACAAGATCTTTTATCACACCATCCATATGGTGAATGTCTCTTTTATGGAGAAAATTATATCATAATTATCATGGTCAAACTCATCATAAGAAAAGTTATTTTTTGCTTTAATTTTGCCTTTAATAACTTTTATAAGGCATGGCAAAATATTTTTGGCATATCACATGTAAGCGACGAATGACATATTCATGTAACCACACAATAATATTTATTATTTTTATTTCACTCAAATCTCCCTTAAAAGTGAGTTGTGTGGTATTAATCCAATCATGCATTGCATGTCTTTATTCATTACTTTTATCACATATTGTCACATTCACCTTCATGAATTAGTATGCATTCTCAATGTTTATCACAAGTCACATTCTCTTCCAAGAATGGAGTATAATCATAGCGATGTGTTTTATTATTTTTCCATACCAATTTGATAGGTGAACATTACCCTCACCTTTTCGAGGATATATTTTGAGAACCATTATTGTTCTCCCTTTTTATAATTACCATAATGATGACTATTATTATTTTTTTCATTTGTCACAACAATGTTCATTCGTCAATCACTTGTCTCTATTTAGACTTATTATGCCAGCTACCATATTCACTTTAAAAATGGAGCAAATCAAGTGGGCAAATATTTATGACTTTTCATGAAAAATATATTATTTTTCTTTAGTCATCATTATATCGTCAATATGGTACAGTGGGACTCAAGCCCAATGTCTTACATATATAAAGGCATGTTAGGCCATAATAAATTGGGACTCAAACCCAACTCTTATCATTATGGGGCATCAGGACTTGATCCCGATGTCTCACCCTCAATCAATGGCATAATAAGCTAAACAATATTGGGATTCATTCTCAAGCCTTAATTTCAATCACATGCCAAGAAAGTTGTACACAGCTAATTTGCAACTTAGCAAATCAAATTTATTTTCTTAAATAAGTGTACAAATCTCAAAACATCGTAAAGCTTTATCAATTATTTGTAGCATCTATATGAAATACAACTGTTTGTAGTCAGAATATTTCTTCTAAATTATATTAGAGTTTAAATGTATCATAAAATCATTGTCATAATATTTATTGAGCTTCTCTCAAAAATATTATTGTTTTCGGGGTATACCCTACCTATTGGATTTGATTTAACGCCATGACTTTCCTTCACTCAATTCAACCAATCAATTAGTGAATAAATTTATCAAAAGTACAATAATAGGTAACAACACATACATAGTACTAATACATAAATTTAGCATTTATATTACTTGAAAAGTGACATTATAGATAACAACTTACTAGTTGTAGCTTATGCATCATTCATATAAAATACTTGAAAATGGTAAGTCAATAGAAAGCATCAAGTAGGTCATGGATACTCGAAAATACCTCTTCTAGTAGTCATACTAATCACTGTTTGCTTTCAAAGATACGATCATATATTATGAAGTATACTTTCTCAATAGCTGGTTTGTTTTCCAAATTTCAAAGAAGTAATTAATCAAACTAGATAAAGATGTGAAGTATTTCTTGTTTTCTTCAAGATGATTTATGCTTCTAATCAGTATGACCAATTTTTTTTTATTCCTTTTTTTTCTATATGCAAGTGCAAAAACACAAAAGAAAAAAATATTCATCCAAGTTAAAGAAAATATTAAAAGCGTCAGGACAGATTGAAGATAGTTAATACACAAATATGCATAAGACAACTTATATAACATATCCTTGGTTACCATGACATGCATCGTATCAACAATTAACTGCTACTATGATTTTCACATATAGAACTTCGAAAATTTCATTCCATTAATGTGATATAAAAGATGTAATATTAATATGTGCTTATGCAATACAGGTGTAGTACGAAGTTGTGTGCATATGAGATATTAAAGAAATGACAAGTATAAGATAATCATACCTTCTTATGTTTAATTACTTACCATATGTAGTTTATCTTTACATCTAATCATGAGATGATATGTATGGCTTCTAATTGCAATTTTTCTGGATGTAGGAAATTTTTTGTAGATATATATACAATTGGTTAGAGACTCGTGCTGATAACGTGTTATAAAATAAAAGCAATTTAGTAAAATATGAACAAGAAATAAAATCAATTTAGTAAAACATGAACAAGAAATAGAGATAGAGAGAAGGAAGAGATTTTCTTCTTCAATTGTGTGTATTTTCCTATCTATTACAAGGCCTTTATATAGGCATAAAAAGTAAAGAACATATGTAATGGAATATATCATTGAACATACAAAATATGTCATTGAATATGTCATTAAGCATTTGAGATGAAGATCAAGGAAGAAGAGTAAACATCCACCATAATGTGATATTTATCATAACAGAACCATAAAACTACTTTGTTCTCTGTAGTTAGTGACTTATGACTACACAATTGGATATCGGGCAGTTGCATCTATACCCGTTTTTTGTGTCACGTTTTAACTTGTGCCTGCTTTGTAAAAATAATTGCAAGCATACCCGTTTTTTCGCATAACTTCAGCATACGGGGCTGAAGTAGCAAAGACAATCACGCAAAAATTCAGCATTCTAGTAGCAGGGCCTGAAGTTCAGCTCTAGAGCTGAAGTTTTTGTTTTGTAACTGGCGAAGTTCAGCTCTAGAGCTGAAGTTTTTGTTTTGTAACTGGCGAAGTTTTTGTTTGTAACTGGCGAACTTCAGTTCTAGAGCTGAAATTTTTGTTTTATAACTGGCGAAGTTTTTGTTTGTAATGGCAAACTTCAGCTCTAGAGCTGAAGTTTTTAAAATCCTTGAGTATGTACTGCTGAAGTTTCTATTTTTGGGGGAGGAAGATTGACCTTTCAAATTCCATATTCTAAGTATGGAGACGACTTCATTGATTTATTCTAGTAATTCATTAATATACTCGGAAACCTCATTTTCTTCTAAACAGGTCTGCAGCAGTTTATCTTGCTGATATTTATATTGAACTTGCTCAGATTCCTCCAAGATAATAGCATTTGAAAGCCTTTCCTTCAATTTTTGCAAGAAATCCTCTGGATTACAAACCAAAGACATGTTGGAAAATCGAAAAGGTAAGTGACACATTTAAGAAAATCGAATAAGAAGAATCAGTATACTCATACTGTCTTCTATATATATAGTAAGATGGCTTCTGAAGAATTGAGTGAAGCCACAGAAGGAGAGATATTGTTACATCAATGTTAAGTTCCGGAGAGATATGGAGATCATTGGGAGAAGGATGAGGAGAAAGGGGGCTGAAGTTATTTAAAAATTGGGTACAAGTTAAAAGTTTTAAAAAAATTGGGTATAGATTAAATGAGAGCGACAAAATAAGGCGCCCCGTGGAATTTTTACATTGGATATGGTATAGGTAGGTCCAAAACCCCACCAACAAATGGGCCCCCAAACAAATCTAAATAAAGTCCACTAAGGAGAACCAGAAGCCCACAGCCCATCACTCAAAAAGGGAAGTTTCAAAAGATAGTTGATGGAATGATCAAAGCCACANTGAAGTTTTTTCAAACTTTTTTTTGGGATTTCGGAAAAAGGAAATGGTGAAAGAAACAGAGTATTATGATGTTCTTGGTGTTAGTCCTTCAGCATCTGAAGAGGAAATTCGCAAGGCCTATTATCTCAAGGTTTTCGAACCTATGTCTTAATCTTTTTACTTTCTATAATTGGATTTTATGTAGCTTTACTTAGTGATGTCGTTGATTTGTTTACTTTGTTATATAGTTTAAATTTCATCTGTCGTCTATACTTGTAGGATTTGATAGATGGATCCAAGTAGTGTAATTCATGGAATGTTTATTCTAGAAATGAAGGTTTATTTGCTTTGACAGTTTAATGTACCAACTTTTGTTTTGATTTGAAGTACAAAATGGTTGTGGAAACTGTCTCATCCTCTCTGATCTGTTGAAAGGAAATGTTTGCTTGAAGAGCCGCTGAAGTTACCGTTACAGGATTCATTATAGTAATTTTAGTAAATTCATGAAAGAACTTGCATCACGTTGCTCGGACTCTCCGAAAATTTTACCGGGTGCGTGTCAGATCCTCCAAAAATAGTGTATTTTTGAGGATCCGATACGGGCATAGCATCATTTTGGAGAGTCCGTGCGTGCAACATAGCTTGACATCTCTGTTGATTTTCCTTCGGTGTTCAATCCTAAGTCTTAATGCATTTCAGATTAAAGCAAAAAGAAAGATTTCTTGTGCTTGTTGAATGATATGGAAAATCTGCGTCTTTCATCCTCTGGTGCAGGCCAGGCAAGTTCACCCTGATAAAAATCCAGATGATCCTCTTGCTGCACAAAGATTTCAGGCAAACTCATATTGCTTATTCCTTATTTATATTTACTTATTCTGATAATCTTGGCATGATAATTTATTCGTTTTGATGTTTTAAATTGTAACAAACAGGAATTAGGGGAGGCATATCAGGTTTTGAGTGATCCAGTGCAAAGAAATGTATATGATCAAAATGGCAAGTCTTGTGTCTCCAGGTAATCTTTCTGTAATTTCTTCTAGGTTATAAAAGGCCTTTTTTAACTTCAAATTGCTAATTCAAAGTGTAAAGACTTTGTGTAGCCTATTGATTCTACTGTTTTATATATCTTGAGCTTTTATTGAATACCTCTAGTCATTTTGAATGAAATATTAATACTTGAAGAACACTAGGCAAGTACTGGCTGATTCATAAATTTCTATGCAAAAAAGATGTTCTTAGATATCAATGAATGAAGGCTACATGAACTTTAGTACTATTTTTTATGTCCTCTTTGTAGGGAAACTATGCTTGATCCGACTGCTGTGTTTGCGCTCCTCTTTGGGAGCGAACTTTTTGAAGACTACGTCGGACATCTTTCTGTGGCATCAATGGCTTCCTCTGAATTAGTTGGCGAAAATGACGACCCTGAGAAAATCCATGATAGACTCAAGGCAAGTATGTCTTAAATTTCAATAACATACGAGTATGTTTCCACTTGTTGGTAGTTTCTTTGTAAGAAAACTATCAAGAAAATGTTTTATTGAAGATATGTGTGATATCTCTTTTTGTTGGGTTAAAGGGGTCCAAAGATACTCTTAATATGGTGTGTTATTGTCCGCTTTAGGACAAGCCCGCACGGTTTTCCCCGAAAGGCCTCACACTATTAAGATCATCCAACTACTTATAAGTAGTTTATTTTATTTTTTTTTACTTTCCATGTGGGACTTGTTCACACACTCCCAACAATCTCCCCCTTGAACTAAGTTTCACACGACCCATCACCGTTTATTGGCTAATGTAGAGATTAACTATGTGTCACCCACATGATCCGAGTATTTACGGTCACCGAAGCCCAAGGAGAGACTGTGTATGCGTCTTTGAAGCTATGGGTAAAGGTTGTGAACCGGCCATAGACGGGTAAAGGTACTAAGTCGGGCCCTACGCCATCACTTCGCCATCTCCATACTCGTCTCGTCAAACCATTGGCTCTGATACTAGTTGTTGACCCAAAGCGGACGATATCACACCATGTTAAGAGTATCTTTGGACAGTTTTAGCCCAACACTTTTTAGGACTAAATGTTCTGTAGAAAAGGAAACATACCTTTGTTCTCTTTAGTTTACTAGTACCTTTTTTCAGTTGATTCACTATGATAGTACTGTGTTATGAAGGGTGTCCAAAAGGAAAGGGAAGAAAAGCTTGCTAGAATACTCAAAGATTTTCTTCAACAATACGTTCGTGGTGACAGAGTGGGTTTTCTACGACGTGCTGAATCTGAAGCTGAACGGCTTTCACAAGCAGGTCAGCTGACTACTTCTCTTGCATTTCTTCTAGTGATTTCTCTTAGTTTTAGTAATGGCAATACCCAGAGGCGGATCTATGTGTTATTCTCTTAACAGCATTTGGAGCTGAGATTCTTCAAACTATTGGATACATATACACAAGACAGGCAGCCCAAGAGCTCGGAAAGAAAGCAATTTACTTGGGAGTTCCATTTATGGCCGAATGGGTTCGCAACAAAGGTCATTTCTGGAAATCACAGCTTACGGCAGCAAAAGGTACACTTTGATCATTTCAGTGAAGATCCGACCTCTCCCTTCCTTGTCATAATGTGGTGGACTATACTGGCTTTTTAGGTGCTTTTCAACTGCTGCAACTTCAAGAAGATGTTCGTCGCCAGTTTAAAATGGATGGTAGTGGCCCTGAAAATGACGTTGAATCACATCTCAGATTAAACAGAGAAACACTAATGAATTCATTGTGGAAACTAAACGTTGTAGACATTGAAGTAACTCTTTTGCATGTCTGCCAATTGGTAAGCCTTTTGTTCAAAATTATCCCTTTTTGCTTATGTTGCTAGGGCTTATTCTGTTTAATCTTTCAGGTTCTACAAGAAGGCAATGTGAAGAAGGAAGAACTGAAGAAACGAGCGATGGCTTTAAAGATTTTGGGAAAAGTATTTGAGGTAGGATTAAGAATAACTTGTGAAGTGTTGCACCAAGTCCAAAAAAATCAAATCTCGTTTAACTTTCTAATACTAATAGTCTCATAGATAGGAAATTTTGTTAGTTATTAAGCTTATACGTAGTTGATGATGTTTCATATCTACTTATATTCTGCAGAGGGAGAAGTGCGGACAAGGTGTTGGGACGTCAAAAAAGATGACAATAGGTGATATAAATGCAGAGGAAACCAGTTCTGATAGCAGTGATGATGAGGAAGACTCACCAACAACACTAAATTATAAAACTCCTCTACTCACACAGGTTAACCTTTTGCATTCCGTTCACTTACTACTATCATTTGAAACCAATGACTCTAGAGAATGCTCCTTTAATATTTTAGCTAATAACTCATTTCCAAACCTGTCATTTTGTGATATGGCATGTCCTTCTATTTGGGTGAAGAGGTTCATAAGAATTTAGAGAGTTTAAGGTCTTGGAAAGAGGAAAATAACTAAGCCACCCTCACAAGTTTATGGGTTTGAAATTCTAGTACATTTAAGTTACTTAATTTTAAACTAATAATTTATATAAATTTCTTAAAAAAATACAGGGTCCGGACCAAAGCTACTTGGTTTGGTCGAACCCGCAATTAATAAAAGAGCTAGCTCCGCCCCTGGCTACCCCTGCGTGAAAGCATAAGACGTAGATTACTAACCGATTGGAGTAAGTAGTCTTCTCCGAGAGTTTCACACACAAAAACGACTTAAAAGTAACAAGGTTCTAAAAGAAAGACTAGCCTCAACTCTCAAGACAAAGGAGGCAGGTTAAAATGATTAGGCTTGACGCCCTCCTTATTAGCAGTACATATATATTGTTTTTGTGTTCGGCTTGATACTATCTTAGTTTCAGATGACTATTCAAAAGGAGTTATTAGAGGCAGCTCTACTAATCTATTTTTCTCTTCAATATTTGAATAGTTTATTTTATCACATTTATTTTTTGATGTCATTAACAAAAGTTGATACAGTTTGCCCTCCATAACTTGTAACCTTTATATTTTTGTGTCTCTTATGCAGGGAATAGGCAGACTCTTTAGATGTCTGTGTAATCCAGCATTCGACGTGGATGATGAAGAGATTGTGTACAAAGGCAAGTGAAGAGTTGTGGTTTCATATTCATGATACAACAACAAGAAGACATAAATTAACATATCATATACCGTTGCGGTACCCATAATTGAAAAACTCAGAAAGGCGTAAGCCATGATTTGTGCAGCTTTTGTTTGTAATTGGAAAGATTCTTGACATTTTGCAATCTGTAATGAAATGTTGTTTGAAGTGGTAATATTAAAAATCTGGAGTCCATTACTCAAATGGTACTCAACTATTTCAAATTATCTTTTAAAGTCACTTTTCTTTCATTTGTAACAACAAAGTCACTCAACTATGCCTATTGCACTCAGAAGGTCACTCAACTAGATTTTTCAAATTTTGGAGTGTCAAATACTCCCTCCGTTCCAATTTATGTGAACATGTTTGACTGGGCATGGAGTTTAATAAAAAATAAAGACTTTTGGAATTGGGATTTTTACATTCTTATGTCATACAGTAAATTATATTACCCTCTATGCTTAACTTTTAATAGAATTATCTTTTATATACCTAATTATCATTTATGTACATTTTAGGAGTTTTAATGGTATCAATTAGTCTCCTAATTTAACTCTACCGTATATTCCCACTCCCCCCAAGTTTCTCTCTCCAAATCTCACCCCCTCACCCACGTATCAAATTACACCCCACGATTTCCTCTTCAACCACCCACTATTTCTTCTTCTAAAACCAGCGAAAATCTGTAACCCCTCCACCATTGACAACCATTAAAAAGCTTTGAAGCTTTGAATTCGAATTTGGGTTTTCAAAAGACATTGTTTCTTTGGATTGGATGTTGTTGCAAAGAATTGAGAATTCTCTCTACGTCTCTCTCTATCTCTCAATCCCAAATTTCAGTAATATAAAGCAAAGGAAAATAGAGCAGCAATTCCACCATTGACAGCCATTAAAAAACTTTGAAGCTTTGAATTCGAATTTGGGTTTTCAAAAATCATTATTTGTTTGGATTGGGTGTTGTTGCAAATAATTGAGAATATTTGGAGTTTATATCACAATTTTGAGAAGTTTTGGTGAAGATTAGACTTGGTTTTGGCTGAATTTCAGATTGAAATCGAAGAAGAAGAAGAAGACATGACATACATTATATTGCAGAAATTGTAGAAAAATTGTATTCTGTTGTTTATTTATTTTTCTTTTATTCATTTAATTATTGTATGAAAGTTGAACAACATTGTATAAAAATTATATTTAAGTTGTATGATATTGTAGTGGTATATAACTGAGTAGAAATAATGTACGAAAATTGTAGATAAGTTGTAGATAAGTTGTATAATATATAATTAGTTGTATGAAATTTATTTTTACTATGTAAAAATTGTATTTATGTCACGACCCGAATTTCCAACCTCGAGAGTCGTGATAGCGTCTACTAGTGAAAGCTAGGCAAGCCAACCAACTGAAATATTTACCTTGTTTTCATTTTTAATTTGATAACAGTTAAGAGCCAACAATTAGATAACAACAGAATTGAATAAGCGGAATGTTGTGTTGTAAAGTTTTAATAATACTACTAATACTAATTCATAACAAATCTACCCAAGACTGGTATCACAACTTCATAGAATGTCTAGGAGTACTACAAATAAAGGTATGAAAGAAATAAATACAACACTGTCTCTGGAAATACATGAAAGAAACAGGAATAGTAGATAGAAGGAGACGCCAAGGCCTGCGAACGCCTGCAGGACTACCTCGGGTTGCCTGATGAACAAGAGATAGCAATCTCACTGCGATCTGAAGTCTACAACACTGGGATCTACACAAAAGAGTGCAGAGTATAGTATCAGCACAACCGACCCCATGTGTTGGTAAGTGCCTGGCCTAACCCCGACGAAGTAGTGACGAGGCTAGGACCAGACTACTGACTAAACCTGTGCAGTTATATTATGTATAGCGGAAAATAAAATAGAAATAAATAATTAAATATGGGAAGGGGACATGCTGCGCGGGAATATCATTTATCAAAAGCAATTCAAGAGAAAAGCATAAAGACAATTTAGAATTCACAGCAAAAGAATAAGGAAATCGTAACCAACCAATAAACACTTTTATTATCTACTATTGCAGCGCGCAACCCGATCCAAATCATAAAAATACTGTTGCGGCATGCAACCCGATCCATATCATTTATCACTGTTGCGGTGTGTAACCCGATCAAAATATATTGTTGTTGCGGCGTGCAACCCAATCCAAGCATAATATTGTTGCGGCGTGCAACCCGATCCAAATATAACATTGTTGCGGCATGCAACCCGATCCAAATATAATATTGTTGCGGCGTGCAACCCGATCCAAATATAACATTGTTGCGGCATGCAACCCGATCCAAATATAATATTGTTGCGGCGTGCAACCCGATCCAAACATAATATTGTTACGGCGCGCAACCCGATCCAAATATAATATTGTTGCGGCGTGCAACCCGATCCAAATATAATATTGTTGCGGCGTGCAACCCGATCCAAATATAATATTGTTGCGGTGTACAACCCGATCCCAATATACAATTCAACACCAATCATAATGGAGTCCCGACAAGGGAACAATAAGGGAACAACAATATTCCGGCAAGGGAATCAATAACATCATAATAGAATCAAGTAACAACAGAAAATCAGTAAATAAACCTAAAGGACAACATAACTCAATTATCAGCAAGATTCAGGAAAATCAAGGACAAGTGCACGACATCACCCTTCGTGCTTTAACACTCTCTTACCAAAACAATAATCACAAGAAATAAGGGCAAGAAATTAAATGAAATCACAATAAAATCCCTGCAAAGGAACAACAGTACAACAATCGAATCCCGACGAGGAACAATATCAAAAATCATCTTCTCTTTTCCTTTTCACATTTATTTCACAACTCACTTCACAACTTGAGTCAATGCTCTATAGGGTTCAAGTGACATTATACTTCCACAATTCATTCTACAACTTGAGCCAAAGCTCTTCAATATTCAAATACCAATATTACTTCCACGAGCTTTACTCAACAATAAAAATCATCACAAAAGGCATGAACAATACAAACGGAGTCACATTAACCATAGTATAAGACTCATGTGCATGATTGAAACCAACGTATAGATACTCGTCACCATGTCTATACGTCGTACTCAACAAATAACACATAGCAAATAGGATGCAACTCCTAATCCCTCAAGCTAAGGTTAGACCAAACACTTACCTCGATGCCACGAACACAATTCAAGTCTCAACTATCGTTTTATCTCTTGATTCCACCACCAATTCATTCGTATCTAGCCACAAGTTACTTAATTACATCAATAAATGCTAAATGAATCACTTCTAATGCATGGAAATGAGTTTTCCAAAGTTTTACCCAAAAAGTCAAAAGTCGCCCCGGGCCCACATTGTCAAACCCGAGGTTCGAACCAAAACCCCCATTCCCTCACGAACTCAAATATATAATTTGTTTTGAAATCGGACCTCAAATCGAGGTCCAAATCTCCAAAATTTGAAAAATCTAGGTTCTACCCAAAATACCCAATTTCCCCCATGAAAATTATTGATTTTGAGTTGAAACCATGTGAAGAGATGTTAAAGATTGAAGAAAACTAGTTAGAAATCACTTACAATCGATTTGGAAGAGAAGTTGTCTTTGAAAAATCACCCAAGAGTGTTTTGGTTTTGAAAGAGTGTGAAAAATGGTTGAAATGTGTCTAAGTTATGAATTTATAGGTTGCAGGTATTGCAATTGCGACCAGGGTTCGAAATTGCGAACCCAGACTCTGATAAGCTTGCATTTGCGAAGTAACTTTCGCATTTGCGAATTCGGATTTGCGAACATCCTGTCGCATTTGCGATGAAGGCCCAAATGGGGAACATCGCATTTGCGAAGAAAAATCTAGCATTTGCGAGGAAGGGCTGTCCTGGGCTGTTTCGCATTTGCGACTCAGCCCTCGCATTTGCGAGTCAGGCTTCGCATTGCAGGCTTGCAATAGAACAACTGAAACCTGCAATTTTCCCCAAGTTCAAATTCCACTCGTGGCCTATCCAAAACTCACCCGAGCCCTCGGAGCTCCAAACCACACATGCATACTAACTCAAAAACATCATATGAACTTATCCGTGCGATCAAATCGCCAAATAACCTCTTAAACCACGAATTTAGCATAGAAATTTAAGAAAAATCTCAAAACTCTCAAAGTATCAATTTTCACAACTGCGGGTCTGAATCACCTCAAACGACTTTCGTTTCTTACTAAATTTCACAGACTCATCTTAAATCACATATAAGACCTATATCGGGCTCCAGAACCAAAATACGGGCCCGATATCATCAAGCTTTAAACACATTTCATTTCCAAAAACTCATAAATATTCCAGAAAATAATTTTCTTGAAAAATTCATTTCTCAGGCTTGGGACCTCGGAATTTGATCCCGAGCATACACCCAAGTCCCATATTTTCCTAAGGACCCTCCGGGACCGTCAAATCACGGGTCCAGGTTCGTTTACCCAAAACGTTAACCGAAGTCAACTTAATTTATTTTAAAGTCAAAATTCATCATTTTCCACAAATTTTTACATATTGGCTTTCCGGCTACATGCCCGGACTGTGCACGCAAATCATGGTGAGCCAGAAAGAGGTTTTTTTAAGGCCTCGGAATGTAGAATTTATTTCTAAAACAAGTGATGACCCAAAAGGGTCATCACATTCTCCACCTCTAAAACAACCGTTCGTTCTCGAATGGACATAAGAAGGAAGTACTTAAGTCGGGGAAAAGATGGGGATAACGGCTCCGCATGTTGGACTCGGACTCCCAGGTCGATGCTTCAGCAGGCTGACCTCTCCACTGAACACGAACCGAAGGAAAACTCTTCGATCTCAACTGACGAACTTGCCGGTCTAGAATAGATATCGGCTCTTCCTCATAGAACAAGTCCTTGTCCTACTGGACAGTGCTGAAATCTAACATGTGGGATGGATCGCCGTGATACTTCTGAAGCATGGACACATGAAACATTGGATGCACGACTGATAAGCTCGGCGGCAACGCAAGTCTATAAGCCACCTCTCCCACTCGATCAAGAATCTCAAACAGGCCAATGAACCTAGGGCTAAGCTTGCCCTTCTTCCCAAATCTCATCACGCCCTTCATAGGCGACACTCAAAGCAATACCCGCTCACCGACCATGAAAGCCAAATCACGA